ATCTGATTATCCCTGGTGCGCTGGACCAAGGGGCCACAGTCGAGCACAGGCCCATGTTGTTCTTTCTTGATGAAAGGAGGTGGATGGAAGGGATCCCTCTCCATTGCCTGCAGTGTGCCCCAGGCTTCTCTGAGCCGGCACACCGCTGGGGGACTACACCGTGCCACCGCGCTCAAAAAGCCAATATTGAAACAATCACAAAGACAAACACTTACCCTTGAAACAGGCACGAAACAGGCACGTGTCTTCTCACCCCAGGCTCTCCCTCTGTACACCCCAGTTCTTTGGGGGGGTGGGGAATGTTTGAACCAGTATCCAAGCCAGTACTTGTCATGTTTAAACCAACAAGAGGCTGGAAAGTTTGTTCTTTGAGTGCAAGTTCAGAGGAGCGCCCTGTGTGTATTCCTTTTTTTCACCTATACATACACACACAGACAGACCATTTTAAAAATGCTCATTCTTACTCTCTTTGGCACTTTCACGACATCTGGAAAGGTCTTGACCAAGCTCTGTAATTAAGTTCATAGAGTCTTGGTCCATTGTTGTGCGGATCACGTTCGGTTTGGTGACAGCTAGCTCATTCAGTTCAGTGGTCAGCTGCATTTTGATATCAAGGCAGACAGAGTGACGCCGAGGCAGCGGCCAGAGTGCTACGGCCCAGTAGGCCTGAGATCAGCTCGGCACAGCAGTTTAGAGTTTAACCCCTGTGACTGGACACCCACCACCCCCTCCACATCATAAAACCCCAGGACGGGTATTACGCCTCGGCTCAGTGTTCCTGCAAGCTTTCCCAGAACACATGGCCAGCGTGATCCAGGTAGCGGTCACCTTTGGCCAGGCTCAGAGAGCAGGGTTACTGTGATACATGTGAAAGAATCCCTCAGTCAAGAGATCCATACCTCCAATGCCTCTAGCTTAGCAGGCTTGGTTATTGAGACCAGTCAAGGACAGCAAGGCTTTGGTGTAAGGATTAGGCTCTGGAAGCCAAATATCTGCTAGATTTTTATAAAGAGCCAACCCAAAGGCTATTGGACTGATGTGCAGTCATTGCCATCGTATTTGTGCAATTTAGACATTGCTGTCTCTTTTGTTCATGGCAGCTTTCTGTTAAAAATATAACAGAAGGCCTATTGTCTTTTAAAGTTTCTATACTTTGCAATACTATTAATAATTAAAATAATGGAGATTGTATCTTTTTAAAACATGGGGCATCAAAGGATTTGATTTTTTTTTTTTTTTTAATTGGACACCCTCAATAACAAATGCCCATTTTGTTTTTTGAAGCAAATATACTTAAGATTTAAGATTAAGATTTACTTTTATTGTTCTCCGCAAAAGGGAAATTTCAGTTTTTACACTCTTGTGCCAATCTAAGCAACCAATGGTGGGGTTGGATGGGTTATTGGATGGAAAGATTTGCCATCTCAAGCTTTCTTTTACTGATTCATGTTACAACTTACAGCCCCCCACAACCCATGAAGAGTGAGGAGACTAATTACAACCACTTTGCATAGACTCCTGATTACGCATCACTGAATGTGCAAAGGTATGGTCTGACATGCCCGAAAATGCTCTAAAATTTAACTCAGACCATGTGCTAGAGATTTTTACAATATGACCCTATATGTGTCTTATTCTTTTTATCAAAAACTTACTAGATTATAGATCTACACTCGAGACACTTGAGCGGCAAAATACTTAAGCTTTATCTTTAAAGCATGATGAATTGACTGTCCTCTTTCGCCTCGTTTTCAACCAAACATTCTCCGGCGTTTCAGAACAGTTTTAACATGTGAAAGAAAGCCATTGGAAATGTGCTTTAAGTCCCTCTGAGGGTGTGTTCAGGCTGGCAAAGTAGGGCAAGTGTTTAAGAAAGCCACACTTAAAAGAAGAAGAAGATCCCCTCGGAGGAAGCAGAGATGCTTCGCCAGCAAGTGGGCTCACTGTTGCTGCAGGACAGCTGACCGGCTAATCAGCACACAATGTAAACAGATGTCGGCGCTGCGCATCCTATTCACACTTCTACACAATTAAGATCTTAAGAGAAAGACTTCTGCCTCATTAATCCTCATCACAATCCTTTCTTCTTATCCTGCAGCAAAGCCCCATGTATTAGTGTTGCGGTAAGAAGGATGTGGACTCTTATCCAGTGTTTGCCCAAGAAAAGCGGCTAAGACGCAGGCATCATCACTAATGCTAACAATAGGGGGAATGTTTCCTTAGTGCCTCCTCCTTTCTACACTGAAGTGGGTGTAAAAGCCAGAGTAAACACAATCTTAGGCCGTGGACGTAAAGGGAGTGGGAGATCACAAGTCTGGGTGAATAGCAGAGATTTACCCCAAGCAAAGACCTCTGAAGATAAACCTCCCCTGCTCTCCTCTTGTTGTTCAACTCCCACGCCTCCCAGAGCTTCTCCGCCACACTAACGACCCAGCGACCAGGTGTGGGGAGGCTGCAGGTGCCGTCGCATTTAGGCACATTAAGCACTGACACACAACGGCGCTAAGAGTAATCGGATTTACCTGGCTGTCTGCTGCGTGGTGTAGCACGCTATGCAAGCACAGCACTAAGGCTTAGGGCCCCCTCTCCATCACAAGCACACACACACACATGCACACACCTGGGATGAATTTAGGAGGTGACAAGGCCCTCATAGAGAGGGACTACCGCTGATGGAGTAAGGGCTTTGTGTGTTATGTGTGGAACCAGAAACCAGAACAGGAGCCCGTCGCTTTTTTTTTTTTTTACACCTTGTAGCCCACAAGTGGCGACAGACGCTACAGGCTTCTGGTTCAAAGCAGCTGAGGGACGGGGGGAGAGGGCTGGAGCAGAGGGTTTTTTTTTTTGGGTTTTTTTTTAGAGGGGGATCTCATGAGGATTAAACAGTGGTTCTGGGTTCAGGCAGACAGAATGTGGCTGCCACCTTTGGGGACTCCCCATGTCTTCAACACCTGAGGCCAGGAATAGGTGTTTTACACAGCGACGCTCTCGACTGAGATCATAAGTCTCCCCGATCAGAGTCCGGATCAGAGAAGTGTTACGCAAACATCAATGAAATAACACTTGAAGCCATTCAGACTGTTGTTGAAAAGTCAGAAATTGCCCAAATTTACGTACCTCTTTTGGGTGTTGTATTTCTTCATATGACACAAATAATACTTAGTGTCCTATTTTTTCCTCTCAATATATTAAGTTAGTCTTCTATATCTGCCCACACTAATGCTGGATTGTTTTCTGATCTCACAGTAATCTGACATTATTTCAATTGACTAATCATCCTTTAAGTATAATGCTGAAAAATGTGAAAGAAAAAAACTCCAAACTCCGAACTCATTGGGATGTCCTGAATTGTGTGTCCTTCAAATAATCCATTAAAATTATAGAATTTTTTTTTAGGAAGGTGCCGGTGCCAAATTTTATTTTTACATTGTTGGTCGTTAAAAATGATCAAATTGTTACAAATTATTTTCATGTTGACTTCTTATTGTTTCCTTACGAAAACAACGGCTTTTGAAATGTTTAACATACAAAAGTAAAAGGGCAAAAGAATCTCCTGAATCACTGGGGGGCCAACAGCTTCCCATCCAGCATCGCTGTGCTCTTCTCTTCTCTGTCTGGTATATGGTTGCACTCCTCCAGCCTCTCGAGTCCCGGTGCACAAAGAAAACCTCTTGAAGCTCTGCAACCCTTTTGACTTTTACTTGCAGCTTTTGAACTCTCCATTTCAGACTGCGACTTTTTCCACATGACCCCAAGCCTCAGATTGACCCCCCCCCCTCCCTCCCCCGCCCCTTCCCCTACTTCTACCTCCGGGCTTCAGCGGTGTGGAACCTCCAGAGCTCTTTCACACATACCCACACACACACATACCCACACACACACACACACACACACACACACACACACACATAGAAATGAGAAGTGGCAGTGTTGCTGAGTTAGGTCAGGATGTAATAGGCAGTAATGTTCTGCCCTCGAGGGTCCTGTCCGCCGCACCATCGCCTGGTTTTTAAGTAACCTTTCCCTTTAAGAGGCACCTTGGTGACTCCCAGGCACCCGAGCAAGAGGGAGCAGGAACTAATTAAATGACTGACTAAATAGAGATACAGTATAAAGGTTGGGGTCCACTGGACTTTTTCATTACTGCCACTGGATTAAAATCCTTCTGTCCCACTCTGTCTGCCCCAATTCAGAGCCAATTTGACCAAACTAAACAAGCTATCACATCAAATCCTTGTCTGCAGGCTAAGTCCTGGCTACAGTGGCCGCTGAATTAACCTCCTAATCAGCCTCTTACTCCCCAATCATCTATCTACTGTTCCCTCTGTCCACGTACACACACACACACACACACACACACACACAGCTTCTCTTTCATCTACCGTCTATCTCACCTTTTCTTACAAATTATCTTCAGTATCTCACTCAAGCCACAGCTCTCCCTTCACCTCAATCTCTCAGGCTTCATCTCCATTAGTCTCTCTCCCTCTCTCTCTCTCTCTCTCTCTGTCTTTCTCTCACACGCTCTCCGAGGCCCACAGAGAGAGAGAGAGAGAGAGAAAGAGAGAGAGGGGCAGAGTAACAGAGTAGGGGGTGGTGGGGTTTGACTCGGCACTGCTTTGGGGCTTTGAAGTGTGTGTTGATGAGAGAAAGCGGAGTGCTGTGTTCAGACAGGCCCCTAATGAGGGAATTAAGAAGCTACGCTGGCCGTTCCCCATACTAACTTCCCAGGCACAAAACAAGACAAGTGTGCGTGCATGTGTTCAACAATGTGTGTGCTTGAAAGTGTGTGTGTGTGTGCTTGTAGAAGCGAGAGGCTAATCTGTCAGACTTCATCAAGCATCTGACAGTCCTGCCTCTCACCTACAGTAAAGAGACGTGAAACTTGGCCTCAGTGTTTGGGGTACTACAAACACGTCCTTGAGCTTTGCAGTTTTGTTTCAAGTTTTCCCACTCTTAAAGACGAATAACACGAAGCATTCTCTGACTAGTGGACTTACGATAGTGCGAGTCTAGGTAGCCGTTGCGAGGATCCATCGTGAACAGCGTGCCTCTGTACGGCAGGGCATGGTCAGACAGGTGAGGGATGGAACTATGCAGCTCCTTTTTCAGCAGCGAGGGGCGGTCTTCTGTGGAGGTGGACGGCTCCTCGCTTATGGTCCTTGTGGGCGTCGGGGCCTGGGAGCTGATGGCATTGCGTCTCTCGCGGTGGTAAGGCGTGCCTGAACTCTCGTCCTCTGTGGAAAGAGAGAAGGAGAACACGATCTTAGGACGCAGATTTTTTTTTTTTTTTTTATGAGAAGATTAAGAAATAGAAAAAATTGGAAGCAGATGTAAGGAGCTCTCTCCTTCCCTGGTACAGTTTCATACATGTAGCCATGCTTACAACCACAGCTGTTCTGAACACCCATCCACATGGTTGGGAAGTTACTTCACGTCGGAAGGAGTGGGCAAAAAGAGGAGCTGGAGATCAGCTTTGTACACCTGAAACCTGGCGGGTATTATGGGTGTAAATCTGCAGGGTTTGCCTTCCACGGAGCCAGATGTGGGGGTTCAGAGGCGAGTAGTGTTTGAGCAAATGGACACCAAGGATGGCATAATCCCACCCTCTTCATTTCACACAGTTGAGGCAGGGGTTTCCAAAAGTCTGTTCTTAGATTGATTTATGTCAGTTCTGTTAGGGAGGAATTGATTCCAATGGCGGAGGCAGCTACAACCCCACCCTCCTTTTTTCACCCACTCTCTCTCTCTCTTTTCTGTTTTCAAACTTAATCTTACTCATCGGGCAAAATCAGGGGGAGCTGGGGTCTTGCAGAAAGCTTTGTTGCACGCTGGGTAAAGAGGGTATATGTGGAATTGAGTTCAAGAGCTTAGCTCCACTAGGAAGACATGACCCTTGACCCTTAACCTGACCTCTAAACTGACTTGTATGAGGGTCAGCTGACCTTCTGACCCGGCATTAGTCTTTTTTTATAGGATAAGCCCAATATACATATAGGCCCAATTACAATTTCCACTGTAACCCTAGTTACTAAACTACCAAAACCAGGAAAAAGCCAGGATGTAAACCCTACAACAATCTTTGACTTGCATTAAAATCAACTTTCAATGTTCAATAATTCCCCCAGCGAGAAGCCGAGCGATGTTGTCACAGTTCTGACTCCTTTCATAAGCTGCTCCTATGAATGTTTCCCATGTTCAGGCCTTGTTTAAGTGCAATAACAATGTTCACCATGTCTGCATTCAACCCTGTGCCTTTAGTTGTACAGTTTGGTCACCAATACACCCAAATCTATCTTAAGTTTTTGTCACTCAACAGGAATCTATCAAAATTCAGCTGTTACGGTGCCAGAGGTTCAGTAGCATTGGCAGCCTAACGGTGCAAGGTTCCCCCCACTTTCACTGCAAACCAACAGCATCCAACTGCCAATTAAGCACCGAGTAGAGGGGGCCAGATTAAAGACTACCACCTTAAGCACTGAAGAGGGCCGCCATAATGCTGTACCACTTCACAGAAGAAGAGAGGCGATCAGAAAGGGGGAGGTTAAGAGACGGGAACAGAGAGAGAAAATGAGAATGAGAGAGTGGCAGAGAGAGAGAGAGAGAGAGAGAGAGAGAGAGAGCTGGGTAACAACCCACGGGTCCTGCTTTTATTCCCTGCACTCTCCCACATCCATTACCAGCGTTCGAGCAAGCCGTGCATTGGCGCACCACTGGCAGCGGATTCAAGGATTCTTAACGCGGAACTGACAGCCAGAGAGGCAAGCCACTCTCATCCGCGGGAAATGACAGTGTCAGTTATGATATAAGTATTTAATCCTATACTGCACAGCCAGTGATCTTATTAAGGGAATAATGGCATTTATACGGTTAAAGCTGGATTAATAGGTCTGCTCTTGCAAAGCGCAATATTAACATAAAGGGATTTCGGAATTGGGTTCATCGCCTGACATGGATTGAAAGAAGTCGAGACAGTGAACTATGCTGGAAGCCAATACTGCTAAGGGTAGAGCGTGTAGCCGTGTGTAGCACAGGCTTCCACTGTGTACTCTGAGGTCTTGCACACCCAAAAATCTAGCATTACATCTGAGGAAGTAAAACCTACCTCCATATTTATGGGCTCTTCTCTAACTTTAATACAGCTGTTTGATGTTTTATATAAAGATGTATCACTGGGGCCTTAGACAGTGTAGCATTAAGAGGCCACTGGGTGCTTCGACTAGTCAAAAACATCCACAGCTAATGTACCAAGAAATACTAAAGAGAATTTGCTGCTTACTTAAAAAAAAACTACACATTTTCTACTCTTGGTTGATCTCTTTCCACATCTCTCTTATTCTTCTTTACTTTAACCTCCTTCTCGGTGATCCCCACCGCTCTCTCTCTCTCTCTCTCTCTCCTTTAAGGGAGGTCAAGCGACTAATGGTTCAATCACAGCAGTGTCACAGTCCCACCTCCCCCCTCTTGTCGCCATGGAGAGCCCACTGGGGGTTCATCATTCTACCATATACCACCTTAAGGGGGTTCATTACTTGAGTTTACAGCACCTTAAATGGTTAAACAAACACCCAGCAGCACAAAGGTCAACTGACTGCTCGAATCGAGTCAGGTTTCTGTTCTGCGCTGCAGGAACAAGTCTTGTTTCTCAATCCCATAGGTGCAGTTTGAAATGGGTATAGAGTATTGGCATGTATGCTAGTCACTGCATCCATCAGATTAGACCCATAAAACCAATGCTCTCAGGTTAGTTATCGTGTGACAACTAAAACAACAAGTGTCAAATTGTGTAAAAAAAAAACATCTTCACTTTTTGTACAATAGTAACTTGTCAGTTGTCAAACAGAAAATATATTGTCAATCGCAGACTGAGCTGAATCTGTGAAAACATGGACTTTTGAAAAGTTCATCCAGCAACACTTCTCTAACTCTGACCATCTGCCCAACAGACCCTTTCCCTTTTCCCTCCCTTATTTTTTATTCCTCTTTTATTTCCCTCTCTTTTCCCATGGTTGCCACATCCAGTCCTCCACCAGTTTGCAGGTCTATTCAGCCCAATACAAAAGCAGCAGGCCCGTCCTCTGTGGACCAGAGGAAAGCATGCCTCTCAAAAAAACAGAAAAAAAAAGAACTATCCCGCTCTCTCTCTCTGTGGTGATTGAATTTCTTAACATCTTTTCAAAAAGCGCTTAAATGCCTGGAGGCGAGAGGAAGAAACAAGCTAATGGTGGATGGGGAGCACTGAACAAATTTCAGAGCCCTTTCCTGCTTGCGTTTGAGGTTGAAAGCGAGCTCCTGCCTTTCAAGTTTCAAAGTCCTCCTTCCTCCCGCAGTGTCACTGAAGGATTTGAAAAGAAGGTAATTGTGCTCACTGCCGTCCTGATCAGAGCACACGCCCCAGCTCTTGTATTTCAGGAGCTTTCACTGCCACTATTATGGTACCTGGTGCTCCATTCCTGCATTCTTCCTCCCTTACGACTCTCTCTCTCCCTCTTACCCTCTACAAATGCACCCTCTCTTACTCTCCCTCACTTGCTTTATATCATTCTTTAACCCCCAGCAAGCCTCTCATTAAATCCTAAAGCCCAGGTTTCTCCTTTTTTTCCCCCCTTGTCTGGGGCTTCTATTGTAAAACTGGTACGAATACCTTCAGAGAAAACGCTATGCATGGCCTTTAATATAGCGCCATAAAAGCGAGAGTGGATGCAATGACAAAATGAAATCTTAAAAGAGATAATGAGATATGGAGTGTGGCCAGTTCTTTGGAGAGATCCGCACTGGGACAAGGAGGGCTTAAGTTAAGGGTGCCCAGCCAATTCAAACTGAAACAAAAACCCTTGGCTTGTTGTTTTTCAGGTTATTTTCTAGAGGCAGAGGTTAAGAAGGAGAACTGCCATTCCTCCACATGCCAATCTGTCCTTGACTCTAAATAGTCTGATTCTTCCATGCGTGTTGTAGGGTTAGACAAAGGGGCCAATGCACATTGCAGCTCTTCCCCAGGTTACCCAGTTTCCCAAAAGCTTTAAACATCAGAGGAGGTGTTGTTGTACCTCCGAGCCTAAGCCAGACATATTCTGTGTTCCACCTTCGAACTTCTCTAAGCGTTGTTTTCCATGGCACAAACAGGTTTTGGCTGGAGAGCAAGAGGAAGAGGAGAGGAGGATATGCAGTGAAACCACAAAACACTTCTTCAAAGCGCCTCTCCTCCTGTGCAATAATCTCTTGCTCCCTTTTTTCTTTCTCTTGCAAATCAACTCCCGGGAACGACTCAAGACTCCCCAATTAACAATGAGAGGGGGAAGAAAAAATTCCAGCAGCTGGCTAGAGTTTAATAAGAGCACCTCTCCAAGCGGCTTAGGCTTATGTACCTGATTCACCGGCCCTGGCATTGGCGCTATAGACCCGGGGAATCATTCACGATTAGTGCAGGCTGATGAGGGAGAGACACCGCTCAAACTCTACCAAACCCATAACAACAAGAGCGCAAGGGATTACCGCAATTGTGTGAGGTATTTTTTTTTTCCCTGATCAACTTCTTGGTTGACGGGCTCAGTGCCACAAGGAGCTGAGTGCCTTCACCCAAATCAAGCCCGTTGGACATAGTGTGAAGGTTAAGACGGCCGTACAGAGCTCCTTGTCGAAAAAAAAGTCTGATTTGGAGAAATGTCTTGACAAACAAATATTAGGAATGCATCGGTTCAACATCGGTATCGGGCCCTGTTGACAAACATCGGCACATGTGTGCAAATAGTGTGGCATGAAGATGTTAGTAGCCGATGTTTATTTGTTGTGCAAAATCAATTTAATGCTGACATCTAGTAGACCTAACTAGTGATGCAGAGAACAGTTTGTTTTTAATTCAATGTCAAACATGAGAGAAATGTTGGCATTGGTATAAAATCGCCAGTCGGCTAGACTCTTATTTCTATCAGCCCTGATTTTCCCAATCAGTCCAGCTCTAACAAAATTGTAAACGTCAGAAGGCAGAATAAGGTCACATCCTCATATCTGTTGGCGGATTGATTGTAAAAGTCAAACAGTTTTTTCAGAGCTCGGGAAGCAAACGTAAAGTTTTTTCTCTTCAACTTTCTGCTCATGCCTGGTTCCGTCTCTATAGAGTGAATCCTTGGTGGTAGATTATTTAACCATCAGCGTGTGACTGATGTTTGGACGAATTGCAAAGAGAGGCATGGGCAGGTCAGGATGTTCCCTCTCCTGGTTAGCAGTCTGTTGTCAGCCG